CCAGGCACACCCCACAGGCCCGTGTGTCCCTGACTCATCAGGACTCACCACAGCAGTGCTGGGGCCAGCAGCCATCATCCCTAGAAAGGGTGGCTTGGCCCTGCTGCCTTCTCACAGATCCAGAGGTGCAGGTCTCTGGGACCAGTGCACTGGGCAGGTTTGATGGTCCCACGGCTTATTATGGCACAGGTTCCATTCGATTTTGACTGCCACGGCCTGAATGGGGAAACAAACAACACATCAGGCACTGACATATTCTTTCTACAAACCCTGCTGAGGCAGCTGTGGCTGCTGAAAACTGCCTTTTGTACACTGGCAGAGGAGGGGTTGGATGCTGCAGTCAAAGGGGGATCCCACAGTCCTCCCCTACTGATTTCACAGGCTAAAGGATCAGCTGATGCATCCCTGCACTTCCTTGGGCAGGCAGAGAAATGCTGTAAAAGGTTTGCAGTGCCTGTGACACCCCTTTAGCCTCCCCCCTCTCACTTTCGCTGCTGGGGGGTTGTCCATGCCTGCAGTGGGGAGAGCCAGGTCCTCCCTGAAGACCCACGGATGACCAGAGGAGCTGGCCTGAGCCCTGGGTCTGCTCTGGGCACAGCTCCCGTGGCAGGGCTGAGGATGGAGGGCCAGGTACCCAGAACCTGGCCAGACAGGTTTGTTCCTCCCCAGTGCTCTCAGACACTGCAAGAGGAAGCGGCATCAAGCGGAGGAGGTGGTGCACGTGGCAGGGAGGAGCCCAGGATTCTCCACAGACAGGAAGGCTGTGATCTCCCTTTGGAGAGGAATCCCACATCTCCCGATAGACGTGGTGCTCTAACACCTTGCCTAGGCCCCATATAAAACTTGGGGTTTTTTCTGTCCACTCTTGCTGCCTCCTGCTCCTCATGCCCTGCATTTTACCCACCCCCTAGTCTTGGCTTTCCATTTGCGTGTGCTCTAAGCCTCTCACCACACCCCTGCACCCACCTTCCCTCAGTCCCTGCTGCTCTGATGCTCTTTGTTTCCCAGGGCCTGGAACTGGGTACTGGTGGGATATAAAATGCTTCCTAGAGGCATGCCAGAGGAGGGGAGTTTTGGGAAGAGGCAGTGCTGCCAGGTACCTTTCATAAAGGGAGCCATCCACCCAGAACCAGGCCTCCGAGGGCCCCTCGCTCTCTGGGTCCTCTTCCTCCAGCCAGCCGTAGTCGTACCAGGGAAAACTGCCCTTCTGCAATCCAATCCAGTATGGGACATCTGCATTCTTCAGGAAGGTCTGGAGAAGAAGAAAAAGTGCTTTTCTGTGTTTTATTCCATGGCACCCAAGTACTGCAGTACTACATACTTCAGAACAGGGTGATCATCTCCCAAGGAGCCCCTGGGGCTGGAGCTTCTGGAGCCATGGTGCCCTGCTCCAGCTTGGGAAACATCCAGGGCTGCCAGAGCCTTTCTATCCCATGTCAACCACCATGCCCCAGTGAACAGCCTTGCACCCTCCAGTGTTTTGGTGGGACAGGGGATCCCCAGAACCGTGCTAGCCCATCTGGGGACCTCATGGCTGGATACACCATCTCCTGCCCTCAGCTCCCCCAGCACCCTACCGGCACAGTCCAACGACTCCAGGATTTGGTGATCAGGAGCTGAGAATATGTCTTCTCACACTCATCTCTGCTGTCTTCCCACGTCTTCTTCTCCGAGGAGATGAAGAGGCACTTGCCCCGGTACAGCAGCCAGCCCGAAGGGCAGCAATCTGTGGGTGGGGGCACAGCTGAGGGGTTTGCTCAGCCACAGATGCCCTGGGGGGTGCGAAGGAGCAGCCCCACACCTTCCCAGCAGACATCACAGGCTCAGTGTCTGCTCCAGGCATTGCTTCAGCCTTTGGACCACCCTATCCCCGCCATGTGGTGGAAAAAGCCAGTACTTGGCCCTTGGCACCTTTCACCTGGAGCACGCCCTCCCTGCTCCATCACCACCTACCTATAGCTGTGCAGGAGCGCAGGAGGGCCACGGTGCTCTCGCTGGTGTTGAGCCTCCCCTGCACCTCCTGCATCTCCCTCTCTGTCCTGCCCAGGACCGCCGTGACACGGCGCAGCTCCGTGCTCAGCCTGTCCAGCTCCAGCTGGCTGATGTTGCCCTGGCGCCACGCTCGCTGCAGCTCCTCCCTGGCCCAGGCCAGCTCCAGCTGTGCCTGCTCCAGGCTCTGCTCCCGCGCCCTCAGCTCCTGTGACAGGCGGCCCTGCTCGGCCAGGTGCTCGCGGGAGGAGTCCTGCAGGCTGCGGGAGACCTGCCAGTCTGGGGACAGGCGGGTGAGCTGGACGTGAGCATGGGGCAGTTCGGATGTGGGACTGACCCTGCTTAAGGCAGGTGGGATGGGCAGGGCAGGGCAGGGAATTATCCACGAAGAATGGGAAAGATGGGAGGGAAGGACTCAGCAGGGAAGTGTACGGTTAGGGGCTGGGCAGGATCTGGCAGAGGAGAGCAGGACAAGGCAGGATGGGGCGTAGGAGCAGACACAGCAGGTTAAGGGCAGGGAGGGTGCAGCAATGTGAGGCTGGGCAACGCCAGGATGGGAAAGAAAAGGAGCAGAAATGGAAAGTAAGGTGAGGAAGAGGGACAACGGGAGGCAAAGGAGGTGCTCAGGATGTGTGAGGGATGTAGGCCAGCTTGTGGCAGATGGGGCACAGGGACGCAGCGGTGAGTGTGCAGGATCATGCCTCTATTCACCCACAGTGCCCACCCCAGCCAGGTGCCTCCTGACCCAGCCACTCCCTGCCCCAGATGTTCACAGTCCCCCAACTCACAGCAAGTCCCCAAGGCCACAGCGGCCACCAGCAGCAGGCAAGTTGTCAGCAGACCCACAGGGATGCACCACCGATGGGAACGGTGCCCTGCACGACACAACAGGCAACAGACATCACCTGAAGAGCTGGAAAACCCCTGACAGTGCCCAGACCTCCTTCCTGGATACAGGCAGGAGAGTGGTGGCATGACAGCACAGGTGCCATGGAGTGGGAGGACCCCAAAACCCCACCCAGGACCCACCCCAGGACCACCCTGGGTCTGCTGGAATCCAGCTGGATACTCACCTGGGCTGGGCTCTGCTCCGTCCCCATCCTGCCCTGCCAGTGCTGGCTGCGTGTTGTCATAGGGGCTCTCTGCCTCACTCATGCCGAAGGCTGCTGGAGGAAGGCAGGGGAGAGCGGCTGAGGCCGTGGGGTCAGGCATGGCAGGGACAGCGTGGCGGGGCCTCTGGGCTCTCACCTTCCTCCAGTGCCTGGCTGGCCATGCTCCGGCCCCCCAGCACTTTGGCAAACCTCAGGTCAGCATAAAGCTGGGCCATGTGGGCAAGCCCTGAGCCTCGCTGGCTCCCGCTCCGCCCTTGGGATCCTTTCTGGGGTGTCCCTGCTCCCGGCGATTGCGCCGTCTCTCAGAGGTGCAAAGGAGAAGTGCAGCCAGCATCTGCAGAAGCAGAAGTTTGCTCTGCACTGTAGCAGATGGGACTAGTGAGGCACGGCTGCGGGGAGCAGCCCCCTCTCATTGGTCCCAGGAACACCAGCCCGTCCCCTCCCACGCCCTACAAGTGCTCATGGTCCCCCTAGGCACAGGGCAGCGTGAGGGCGGCACAGCCAGGTGTCACTGCAGTGGCACAGCAAAGGATGGACCCAAATCTGTGCACCACGGGGCAAGCCTGAACACAGGAGCAGATTGCCATGTGGACAGCTCTGTGGAGGGTCTTCACAGAGAGAGATTTCCCCTCCCAACCTCTGGATATGGGAATTTCCCCGTGATGTATTTTGTTCCACTACCTCTCATCCCCTCCCTGGTCCCCTCCAAAGAAGACCCCAGCTTTGGCATTGCTCCAGAACAGCCCCAGAGAGTTACAAAATCAGTGATGTCCCCTTTGCCTTCCCTTCCCAAGAGCACAATCCCAACATTCACAACACCTTCTTCTTCCCTCCAGGCCCTCAGTGTCTCAGAGGTCTCTACTGCATCCAGAGAAGGGCAGGTTTCAGAAGGAATGCTCCAAACCTTCCCCCTGCTTCCCATTGCCTCCCACTGCCTCCTGCTCCATTCCACTGCCTTGCTATTGCCTCCCACTGTCTTCCAGATGGTCAGATGGGCACATCTGAACCGAGCCAGTCCCTGGGACAGCGCTGGAGGTGCACAGTGGTGCTGGTGGAGCACAGTGTTACACAGGCACTGTCCATCATCTGTGCAAGAGCAAGGGAAGTTCTTCCTCTGTGGAGAAAGGCAAAAATCCAAGCCAGCTTCAAAGGGGACAGGAAGGAAGTTTAGAAAGCTAAAAGTTGGGCAGCCTCTACTCAACCTCCTGGAAGAAAATGGAGCATGACTGCCTGGGCAGGCAGGGGCCCAGACCCAGGGAGGACACGCAGGGGAAAGGCCAGTGGGATTTACTGGGTGACTGCTCAATGCAGCTGTACTGCTTGGAAGCACTGGCCTGGGGATGACAGGAGAGCAACGAGGCAATTTATCATGACCCTTTGGGGTCTGGGATGTGGTTTTCCATAGTGTATGGAAAGTTTCCAAAGTTTGGTGGCAGAGTGAAGAGATGTGGCCATGATGAGAGGAGAAGTGAAAGCTCGTGCTGCAACGTGGAAGTCTCTTTTAGGCAGTAAGGCAGTGATGCTCAGATCCTGGAGCAGAGCACCAAGGAGACGGAACCTCCATCCTGGATGGAGTCAGGCAGCAGAGCTACCTGTTCCCAGCTGGAAGCCAGACCTGCTCCCCCCTGCCCTAGGAAATCTGATGAACTCTCTGTGGGCTGAGCCCTACAGCTCTGCCCCATGCCCCAGCACCAAGCTGCACCCCCAGTGCCATCCCAGGGGACACTGAGCAGCTTCGGGGGGTGGAGGGGGGCGAAATGGGGGTGCCTGGCCAATGGCAGGACGCCGCTGCTGCGGCCGTACTTCCCCCTCTGTCGCACCTCACCACACTTCTGCTTCTGCAGAAACCAGCTGCATTTTCCCTTTTTAGCGGAGCAGAGCCCGCAGGGCCATCGGGGCCGCCCGGGGCATGGCCCAGAGCGTGGTCTACGCCGACCTGAAGTTCGCGGCGCGGCCCCCATCCACCGCGCCCGACGACGATGACAGCCCGTACGAGAACGTGCCGCTGGGGCCGGCGGCAGCCGCGCCCAGCCCAGGTGGGAGCGGGCAGCAGCCGCGGGGACGCTGCGGTGCCGGGCGGTGGCAGGGGAGCACGGGGTGATACCCAGGGGTGATACTCTCGAGGTGATGCCCGTGGGGTGATGATCGCGGGGTGATGCCCTGGGGTGATGCCCTGGGGTGATACCCAGGGGTGATGCCCACAGGGTGATGCCCAGGGTTGATGCCCAGGGGTGATGCCCAGGGTTGATGCCTGTGGGGTGATGCCCAGGGTTGATGCCTGTGGGGTGATGCCTGCGGGTGCTCCTCTCTTGCAGGGCGCTGGACCCGGCGATGGCGCATCCCCACCGCGCTGCTGGTAGCCAGCCTGCTCCTGCTGCTGCTGCTGCTGGTGGCCGTGGTGGCCCTGGGGGCTTGCCGTGAGTCGTGGCTGGCGCGGGGGGGGCAGGGAGGGTGGCACCAGGAGTGGGCATCGGGCTGGGTGAGGGGCTGGCTGCGGGGGCTGTCAGGGAGGAGGCGAGCCTGGGGCTGGGGTCCGGGGCTCTTGCATGGCCTCCACGAGCTGCCTCCCACTGCTGCCTCCCACTGCCAACCATTGCCTCTCTTTTCCTCCCACCGCCTTTGACTCCTTCCCATTGCCTCCTAATCCTTCTGACTGCCTTCCCATCACTACCTCCCATTCCCTCCCACTGAATTCCCAGTGTCTTACCTTTCCTCCCACTTCCTTCCACTTCCTCCCACTGCCCCACATTGCCTCCCCATTTTATTGCCACCACCTCCTGCTGCCTGCCCACTGCTTCCCACTGCCTCCCTTTTCCTTCCCATTTTCTTCCCACTGTCTTCCATTGCCTCCCACTCACCCCAAACCCTCACACTGCTTCCCATTACCTCCCCCTGCCTTCCACAGCCTTCTCATTGACCCTCCTTGTCTTCCCACTGTCTCTCGCACCTTCCAATGTCTCCCCTCCACTTGCAACCAGTGGAGCTTCCATTCCCTTCCCACTGGCACCCCCAGGACAATCTCCCCCCACAGCCAGATACCCTTACCCTATCTCCCTTGCAAGAGGCATGCCCCGTGCTCACGTCCAGCTCACCCGCCTGTCCCCAGACTGGCAGGTCTCCCGCAGCCTGCAGGACTCCTCCCGCGAGCACCTGGCCGAGCAGGGCCGCCTGTCACAGGAGCTGAGGGCGCGGGAGCAGAGCCTGGAGCAGGCACAGCTGGAGCTGGCCTGGGCCAGGGAGGAGCTGCAGCGAGCGTGGCGCCAGGGCAACATCAGCCAGCTGGAGCTGAGAAGCAGGAATGCTGAGCTGGGGCATACCCAGCAGGAGCTGGCTGTGCTGCAGGAGGAGATGCAGGTGGTGCAGGGGAGGCTCAACACCAGCGAGAGGACTGCGAGCAGCCTGCGTGCCTGCGTGAACACAGGTAGAGCGTGACGGGCTTGGGGCGCTGCTGATGCTGCTGCTGCGAGATGCGGGGGCTGAACTCAGCCAGGCTGAGCTCCCCGAGCATCCGCAGAAGGATGAGCACCTGAGTTGTGCCCCTGCCCTCAGAATGCTGCCCCTGGGGCTGGGTACTCTTCAAGAGCAAGTGTCTCTACATCTCGGTGACAAACAAGACCTGGGAGCAGAGCCAGAAAGACTGTGAAGGGAGACATGCCCGACTGCTGGTCCAAGACGAGTGGACACCACTGACAGTGCCGGTACAGAGCAGGGGGCTGTGGTACCCCAGGAGGGTGGTGCTGGGCAGAGCCCCACGGGGCCAGCTGTGCCAGTATGTGTGGAGGTGCCAGCGTGGCACCATGAGCCCCAGGTTCCCATCCTGGCAGTCTGACAGGAGAAGCACAGCCAGCCCTGGGGCTCCTGGGCACCTGGCAAGTGCTGCTCATGAAGCAGGTGGTTGACAGCTTCTCTCCTCCCTAGAATTTTGTGCAGGCGTCTAAGGCACACTACTGGATTGGAGGAAGACCTTTCTATGCGGCAAGGAGATCTATGTGGAAGGACAGCAAACATCCCTCGTAAGTGTAGGACTCCTTGGCACAAGCACCTGCCCTTTTGCCATACTAGAAAGGTGCTGTTTCACCCTGTGACACCCCTCCATAAAATGGTGATGGACTCCCATGAGCAGTGCCCCAAGGGAGGAGGGTGAGGGTAGAGCCAAGCTGTGGGGTGCAGTGCCAAATGTCCAGGTGGCAGAGAATAAGAGCAGGAGGAGGAATGTGACACTTCCTCAGGCTGATCCCTGTGCCAGGTGCCTTGCCTGCCCCAGCAGCACCGGGATCTATGGGAAGTGGTGTCCATGGTGAGCAGGTTGTCAGTGCTGACCTGAGATGTGCCCTCTTTCCTAGGAAACGCCATATTCCAGACTGCTGGTCACTAATTGACGGGGAAATGTGGAATAAGCGGTGTGACAGTCCCAACCCATGGATCTGTGAGAAATCCCCAAAGCTGAGCATAGCACCTGCGACTCAACCTCCTTTTCTGGACAAGGACTGAGTGCTGCCACCCCCACTCCATCCCTGGACTCAGGAACAGGACCTGGGTGTGCACCCTGAGACCCTGTCCCTGGTGCACGTTTTGCCTCAATTGCCTTGCAAAACCGCTGGGGAATAGTGTCTCTATTTTAAAGCAAGGATTATGGAAAAGAGACCTTATTCCCCTCTCCCACACATATATATTATACTGCTTTGTACTGTGCCACTGCATGTCCCTGTGTGCCCTGGCCAATGCAGCTCCAGTGCAGAGCCCAGCTCTTACCTTCTTTGCTACCCCAACGTTGCCAGGGGTGCAGGATTTGCCATTTGCAGATAATTTTGGACCTGAGGGATGACACACTGATGTCCTCAAGCTATCCATTTCAGGGAGACCTGTGGATTTACAGCCTGTTCCTTCTCTCAGCATTGACAGTTCTTGTCCTGCCCTTTCTTCTGCCTTCATCACCTGCCCAGGACTCTGGGCTGCGTCCTGCCTGGAAAGGCTGCTGACAGTGGGGCCATCAGCATCAGGAAATACTGGGAAACCCAGAGACCATATAGGAAGTGGGAGAGTGCTGAGGAGCTTTGAGAACACGGTGGATGAATGAGGAAACTCTGAAACCATGGGAGGAAAACAAGGGCTATGAAGAGCCCTAAGACCGTGGGAGGTGAATGTGGGAATCCTGAGATCATGGAAAGAAAGGGAGCACAGTGGAACTGCAAATGAGGGTGGTCCTGAAAAGCTGGAGGTGCACTGATAAGACAGTGAGACAGAGGAAGGAGAACTAGGGAGACTTGGGAACATGGGAAAAAGGGGACACCCCTCCCACCAAGGGGGAAAGATACCTAAGAATGTGGTGGAACCTTATCTGCCAAAGGAGGGTGATGAGAGGCACCAGTCCAGGACCCAGTGTGACCCTCCCTGTCTCAGTGTTTCTGCAGAGAAGGGAATGTGTTGGCAGCCAGTTTGCTAAGCTGGACCTGAGACAGCATGGCTTCACCACAGCTCCTGTCCAACCAAGCCAGTGGCCTTCTAGAATGGAGTGATTGCACCTGTGAACAAGGGAAGGGCTACACATGTCATCTGTCTGGACTTCTGAAAAGCCTTCAACACAGCCCTCCTCTAAATCTGAGCTAAAGGGATTCAATGGGTGAACTGTTCAGTGGGTAAGGTTGGACATCTCCATCCAGAAGATTGTGGTCAATGGCTCTGTGTCCTCACTGGACACTGGTGATAATGCTGGCCCTCCGGGATTCACCTTGGGACCAGTGTTACTGTGTCAACAACGTGAACAGTGGGATCAAATGCACCCTCAGCAAGTTTGCAGGTGACACCAGGCTGTGGTGGTTTGACACAGCTGAAGGACAGGATGCCATCCAGAGGGACCCAGACAAGCTCAAAGAGTGGCCCATGGGAAGGAACATCATGAGGTTTAACAAGGCCAAGTGCTGCTGCTGCACCTGGGCTGGGACAAGCCCTGGTGCCAGCCCAGGCTGGGCATGAACAGCCCCAGAGCAGCGCTGCCCAGAAGGGCTTGGGGGAGCTGTGGCTGAGAGGCTGCACAGGCCCCGGCCATGGCACTGCCAGCCCAGAGAGCCAAACGTGTCCTGGGCTGCATCCAGAGCCCCGTGGGCAGCAGGGCAGGGAGGGGATTCTGCCCCTCTGCTCTGCTCTGCTGACACCCACCTGGAGCACTGCATCCAGAGCTGGGCTCCAGCACAGGAGGGACAGGGACCTGCTGCAGTGAGCCCAGAGGAGGGCACTGAGAATGATCAGAGGGATGTAGCACATATGCTGTGAAGAGAGTTGGGATTGTTCAGCCTGGGGAAGAGCAGACTTCAGGGCAAACTCACTGTGGCGTCCTAGTACCAAAAATCGCTACAGGAGATCTGGAGAGAGAGTTTACACAAGGGCTTGTTGCAAAAGCACAAGGGGAAATGGCTTCAGACCGAGAGGGCAGCTCCTAGGAGAGCTTCCACAGAGGGAGCTTCCAATGGCATGGCAAGGCTGGGACAGGCTTGCAGGTCCCCTACAGTGTCAGCTATCATGCAAAACAAAGACTTGCTGTGTCTGGCTTGTCCTGGAGAGTCCAGATGTCCTCCCTGCCCCTAAAGCCCTGAGCTCCAGCCCCCACTGCCCACAGCGTCGCAGTTGCCACTGCAAGGACACGCTGCAGACCCCATCCAGCCTCTGGTCCATGCTGTCCCTAGGCTGGTTCAGCATGGCTGCTTGCTTGCCCATCTTTATATGTGGCTTCTCCTTTCTTCCCAGCTGCAGGATTTGCACTTTTGCCCACTCCAGCATCAGCAGGCTCCCATCAAACCATTTCTCCAGGCCTCTCTGTACCCAGTATACACTTTACTGGTTTGGTATTGCCCCCCCGCTGCCTGAGGCCACCCCCCACCCATCATCCAGTGCACTGATGAAGGCTCAGAGGAGCACAAACCCCAGGATCAACCCTTCAGCAACTGCCAGGAGAACAAGGGCATTACTGACACCCACTGCAGCCCTCACACCATTCAGATTTTCCACCCACGCTCTCCTCCTCCTCTCCTGACCTCATATATCCCCACTTTGCCAGTGAGGAGACCATGGAAAACCAAGTCCCAGACCTGAAAGGTGCATTATACTGTCCCCCATTGCTCTTCCCCGATGCACAGCCCATTGTTGCCACAGCAGCAGGCAGGTCAGACAGGCATTGCCTGCCCTTGGCCAATCCTGCCTGGATTCCCCACCCGCTCTGGATGGTCCTGGCATGCCCAGGAGGTGTGCTACATCTTCTTCCTGGTACCAAGGTGGGACAACAAAGCTCAGCTCCGGACAGGTGATGTAGGGATAAGAAAGGGCAAGACAGGACCCATGAGCAAATAGTGGCAGAGGCAAAGGAAAACTAACAGAGTGCTCAAAGGGACAGCAGTGACACCACCCTACCTACCTTCCCCAAACCACCCCCGTGAAGGCAGCAGAGGTGGGCTGCAAGGCTGGTACAGAGGAGGAACACCTCTGCTCCAGGCAGCTGGGCTTGCAAGGCACAGCTGGAGATGCAGATGGAAAAGCAGATTGAGCTCGGGGCGGGAGCCCGAGACAAGAGCTGTGAACTGCCACCCTTTGGGACAGCAAAGGGCAGGAGGATGAGTGGTGCCAGACAGATACATGGACTCTGAGAGACACAGCAGGAGCTGGGAACTGCTGACCTTTTGTATAATGGAGGAGAGGGAGGACAAAAGCAAGGTGGATGGACACAGAGAGGGGGCAGGAGAAGACAGCAGGAGGAGCAAGGCTTGAGCACAAGCAAACATTGAGGGGATAAAAGCCCAGGTGTTCCTTTGATGGGAATCCCTCCTCAGAGGAACCACCTCGAGCTGTTTCTGTGTTACTGTGCTGTGAATAAATGGCTTTTTGGAATGAGACATCTGAGACTCTTCCATGGGAAACCTGTGACAAGATGAGTGCCCATGGGCATGGTCCCACTGCCACCACCCAGTGCTCACCCTGTGCTGGGGTATCCCTGTGGCAGTGAACCCAGGCTGGCCACTGTCAGCACCAGCCCCAGCAGCAGGTCCTTGTAGGGAATGCCATCCTCACTGGGGTCTGCAGGGCATGGGGGCAGCAGCAGGGGCCTCAGCAAACTGCAGGGCAGCGTAGGCCCCACTCTGGGCCATGCAGGTGGCTCAGCAGCAGCAGTCCAGGAAGGAGCCCAGCCCTGTCCTTCTCCATTGTGGTCGGGTGGCAGAATGTGGGGACACATCTTCATATGCAGAAAAGCAGAAGTAGTTGCTTTATTTGCAAAAAGTGGGGTTTTTTCCTGCACATGTTCTCATTTTAGTGGGTGGGGTGTGGATGAGCTCCCTCTTGCTCAGCATCTTCTGTGTTCAGGTCCCCAGGTTGTGAAGAGCCCAAGCCCCTGGGTACAGGCCACAGCAGGGCTACCCTTCTCCATGCATCACCTTCTGCCTCCCAGTCCTGCTCAGGCTGGCAGGCTGCACTGGCTGGGGGGCTTGGTCTTTTGCATGTGCTGGGAGGGAGTCCCAGCAAGGGCTGTGCCAGAGCTGCGGGCTGCTGGAACAGCCCAGTATACCAAAACCAGAACAGCCTCTGGGACCAAACAACTCCAAATCAAGCCCTAGCAGGCCTTTTAGGCTCTCACACAGAACCCAGCCTCAAAACAAAGCGAGGATGTTTGCTGGAACCTCTTCAGACTGGGCAGGCACCAGCAAACCAGCTGCTGCCCAGCCCAAATCCTCCGGGGGACTGCAGAGGCAAAGGCAAACCTCCCAGCAGCACCACCCAAGCAGCAAAAGCCCCAGCAACCACTGATGGAGAAGGAAGACTTGCTCACCATATGATGATCGACAAGTCTCGTCTTTATTCCCGAATCACCGATTATTATACACCTTTTAATTAGCTCATGCATAGTGCAAAATCCCAGCTCACCATTGGCTAACTAGCTATCAGCTAACTACGTGCTGTTTTGGTATAACTATCACCACTTTCCCAGGCTGTCCCCGCTCCACCACCTGTCTCCACAGGATCACTGTCAGTTGGAGGAAGGAGCATTTAGCTTTCAATCTTCCTCCCGTGTGCAATGCCAGTGTGTCCTTCCGTGTGCTCTGTGCAGCCAGGGAGAAGAGCAGAGAGGGAAGGGGCCGGGCCCAGGGCTGTGCCCCAAGGCTGAGCCTTGTGGGCAGCCTGAGGATCTCCTGCAGTGCCACAGGAGCTCTTCTGTCCTGCCTTTCTTTGCAGCTGAACCTGCTGGTGAAGGTGGTGCAGCTTCCCAAGCCACGTCCATGGTTGAGCCTCTGGGAGATGCTGAGAGTAGGTCAAGGCCTTTCCCGTGGGAGAGCTGCCAGCTCAGAGCCCAAAGCTGGGCCAGGGGGGCATCGCTGCAGGTGCCAGCACAGCACCAGGTGATGGAGAAGGAAGACTTGCTCACCATATGATGATCGACAAGTCTCGTCTTTATTCCCGAATCACCGATTATTATACACCTTTTAATTAGCTCATGCATAGTGCAAAATCCCAGCTCACCATTGGCTAACTAGCTATCAGCTAACTACGTGCTGTTTTGGTATAACTATCACCACTTTCCCAGGCTGTCCCGCTCCACCACCTGTCTGTGTGTATTTCTTCATCCGTGGGCCAAGGACACAGTTTAATTGGAATGGCAACTCCCCTCATTCGTTATCTCGGTCAAATTAATCTCACTGTGAGCTTTAGCTCCGAGCCAGCTTGTTACAAAGCTCTCAACAAACCACCACGACCAGAAAGCCCAGAGCTTCCATGGGACCTGTGGCAGCCTGCACAGGAGCTGCTGCTGAGCACTGCAGTTGGACCTTGGGGATGCCTGGATTCCTGCTGGCTCAATGCTGGCTCCTGGCCACAGGATGCAATTTCCCACTTGTGAGTGATGCCACTGAGTCTGAGAGCTGGAGGGTGCACCTCCATCCTACCACCCCCACACCCCAAAGCCAGCTGCAGTCATTGTCAGAATTTATTGGCAAAGTGCAGAGTTCTGGAGGGTAGAGAGGACTGGGCCAGGAGGCAGCAGAGCCTGGGAGTGCCCATGCACTGGGGCCAGGCAGGGAACAGGGTGGTGGCACAGGCTGGGGGTCACCATGGCCATCAGGGCCTCACACAGCTGTAGGTGGTGTTTCCCCAGAGGAAGGCAGGAGGCGAGGACTGGAGCCACTGCACGGTGGCTGCACTCTGCTTGCAGACCCATCTGAGGGATTCTGTGCAGGCACCACCCAAAAGTCCCAAGCCTGACACCCTGCCACAGGCCTGGAAGGACCTGGTGTAGCGCTGGACTGGGAAGGTCCTGCAAGGGAGAGAGTGGGCTGAGATGGGATGGGCAGGAAGAACTGAGACTGTCCCATCAGCAGCTCCGCAGCCAGGGACCAGACACTGCACAGGGATGCTGTGGGGGCAAAGTTTACCCTCCCCATGGGGCACAGCCTCCTGCCAGCCTCCTCCCAATTAGGCCACATGGCCTGATGCCCCCACCCCATCAGTCTCAAAGCACCCCCAGATCAATCCTAGCAGGGCTCAGCACTGACCAGACTGGGACCCTGCAGAATCTGAAGAATCCCCTGCAGTCCCTCACCCAGGCAGAGTGTGAGCACCAGGGTCAGTCCCCTGCTAAAAATGCCCCTTCCCTAAAATGCCCCAATGCAGTCCTGGGAAGAAAAGAGGTGGCCAAAATATGGACCACATCCCTGCATGCCTGTCCCCATCACCACCTCGAGCCCTCTTGATGGACCTTCAGCACACCTAGCTGGGAACAAGCTGATAGCCTCACCATTCCAGTGTGGTGCCATCCAGCCACTTCCACTCCGCCCTGAAGCCGTCCTGCTTCAGCCCCACGTGAAAGGCATCCATGCTAGCCGTGCGCACCAGGAAAGCCTAGCACAGGAGAGGACCCACATGAGCCCCTGGGGGGACACCCAGCCCAGCCACACGGTTAGTGATGGGGGCTGTGCTGTACGGGCACAGCCCTGCCAGCTGCCTCCCTGCCTGGAGGCTTTGCTGGGCTTTGGGCACGGGGTGGCCACCAGGACAGCCCAGTGCTCACAGGGAGTTGGTGGGATGCACTCACCAGGGTGGTGTTGGCTTGGATGGTGACCAGCTGTGCCCCCCTGGAGCAGCAGTCCTCCCTGCTCTGCTCCCAGTTCTTTTTGGCAGAGGAGAAGTAGTAGCACTGCCCCGCATCCCAGAGCCAGCCAACCGGGCAAAACTGGCATTGCCCTGCACACCAGAAACACGGCAGTGGGATGGGGCAGCTGGCCAGGGCTGCCACCAGCCCCCAGCCCAAGGGACCAGGAGAGTGACAGCGGGCAGCCAGGGCACTGACCAACCCATCTGTTCACATGTCTGCCCCACAGAGACCACTCTGCATTTGCCCTCTTTTGTGAGCCCAGCTCCAACTTTCCAGTCCCAGAGCCCTGGGAATAGGGGCTAGTTACAGGAACGTGCTGGCATTGAGCAGGGCAGGGAGCTGCAGGTTTGGGGAGCTGATACAAACACAGTTGACAAAGTGCTGGGGACTCAGGTAAGGTTTCAGCTGCACCAGAAGCTGATGTCGTCTGGCACAGGGATGCTGGTGGCATCCATGAGCCTGGTGCTGGTGGCGTGCCCAGGTAACACTGAGCTGCCTGGGGTCATCTCTTCTAAAGGGGTCTCAGCAGCTCAGCCTGTTCAGCAGCGCTGGGGCAGCTCTCCACACCAAAAGCTGGGGGACGGGCAGTAAAGATGAAGGGATATGTAGGGATAGAGCTCGGGGAAACATCCTTGAAAGCAGCAGTAAGCCCTCTCCAAACCTTACCCAGGAGCCCACCAGGCTGTCTTACCTTCCTGCGTCTGTTTCCCATAGCTGGGGCTCTCCTCTGTTTTCCAGAGACCATCTGTGCAGCTTGTTTGTTGTTGCACCAGATCTACAGCAGAAGAGCACAGGTGTGTCCTAGCAACCCTGGGCTCTTGCTCCCAGCAGCACCCAGCGTCTTCTCCCACAGGACAGACTCACGGCTGTGGGTGAGGTGTGCCCTGCTTTAGGCACGCCAAGCCTGCCAGGGTCCTTGCAGATTCTGCACTGCCTGGGAGCCCTCCATGCAACAGGCTTTCGGGGAAGGTGCTGCTGTCTTTCAGTGTCAGCACCAGTGCCCTCCCTCACACTCTTCTTTCACTGCCACCTGATGGAGTGGCTTTCCCCAAGCCCACGCTGTCGCCCCAGCTTCCTTTCCCAGCCACGTAGGTGGTGTCTGCCTCACCAATTTTCCTGCTTGCCCCAGAACCCATGTGCCCTCAGCATTGCCCAGGCAGAAGCGCCCAGCTCCATGGGGAAGCTGCAGCTCAGTCTGTCAGTACACAAGTGCTCTGGTGCCAGCCCTGGCCCCAGGACCCCCTCTGCAGAGATCTGGCTGGTACTTACAGTGGAAACTCAGGCTGACAAGGATGATTTGTGCCAGCAGGAGCACCAGGGAGAGGAGACCCAGGCTGAGGGCTGCCCAGCACCAGGGCAGGCGCACTCGCTGCTGAGGAGCTGAGAAAAGGAGTTAACAAACACCAGGGTGGTGGGGAGGAGGAGGGAGAGTTTGGAGGGAGCAGTGGAGAACCCTGAGCCAGGAAATGTCTGTGAATCCCAGGTGGAAAGTTAGGAGGCAGTGAGGGAGCCTGGAAAAGTGGAGGAGAGCCTGTTTGCAGCAGCTTGATTGTCCTAGAAATTGTCTCCCCGCATTAAATGCTTGGTGGGGAGAGGAGGGGGGAAGTGTCTGTGCTGTGGCATGGGGGTGCAGTGGACATTCCCTGCCTTTGAGCCCCTCCTGCCCCCCACCCCAAGACCAGGCAGTCTGCAACAGAGCTGGAGAGGAGCTGTTTGAGAGAGGACACCCGAAAAGAGGGAGTGGGGGTAGCAGGGCTGGGAGGGCACTTCTGGGGAAGGCAAGGGGCTGCAGGAGGGCAGGGAACACACAGAGGGAGTTGGGGAGCCATTACCTGGAGTGGGGGGAAAGCGCAGGTCGGCATACATGACACCCTCTTCCATGCCTTCCTTGGTCTCCTGCTCTCAGCCCACAGGGGCAGCGACAGCCCCTTCCCAGCCCAGCTTCTCAGACGGCTGTGATGCAAAATGGAAAGTGTCACTTCCTGGTGGGGTCCCCAGAGGCACCACCTGGCACAAAACCCGGGGGGCTGGTGGGGCTCCCAGGCACTCGGGGCGAGGGGCAGCCCTGTTGAGGCCAGCATCCCGGCATCCCAGCAGGAGGAAGAGCACGCTCCTGGCTGGGGGGCTGCAGGCAGTGGGAATGGCCAACATGCAGCCAGGGCTGGGCTAGGCAGCCACGCCATGGAGTTGTGAAGGACATGAAAGGTCATCTCGTCCCAAGCTCCCTGCCACGGACAGGGACACCCTCCACTAGACCAGGGTGTTCAGAGCCCCATCCAGCCTGACTTTAACACTTCCAGGGATGGACAATCAACAGCTTCCCTGGATAACCTGTGCCGGTGCCTCACAACTTTCACAATAATTTCTTCCTAAAGCAGGGAAAGTCATGTGGGAAGCAGCTGAGGTCACTTTGTTTGTTCAAGGCTGGAGAAAAGGAGACTTTGGGGAGACCTCATCACAGTCTACAAGAGGAAGCAGAGGGGCAGATACTGATCTGTTTTCTCTGGTGACCAATGACAGGTGCCAGGAAGGGTTTAGGTTATTATTATTATTATTATTATTATTATTATTATTATTATTATTATTATTGTATTACAGAAAGGTTTATATTATGTTGTTTTGTTGTTGGTATTTTATTTTTATTTTTATTTTTATTTTTATTTTTATTTTTATTTTTATTTTTTATTATTAGGGAAAGGTTTCTCACCAGACGGTGGTTGGGCACTGGAACAGGCTCCCCAGGGAAGTGATCACAGCACCAAGTCTGACAAAGATCAGGAAGTATTTGGACAATGTTCTCAGGCACACAGGGGAATTGTTGGGGGTGTCATGGGCAAAGAGTTGGACTTTGATGAGCCCAGTGGATCCCTTCCAACTCAGTAAATTCTGTGATTCTGCGATGAATATCTAAGACAAACCTGCCCTCTGAGAGTCTGAAGCCATTCCTCCTTCTCCTATCACTACACACCCTTGCAACATGTCCCCCTTCATCTCCTTTTAGCCCTTCTGGTCCTGTAAAGCTGCTTAAGGTCTCCCCAGAACCTCCTCTTCTCCAGGTTGAACAAGTGTGGCTCTCTCGGTGTGACCTGCTCTGGGGACTGCTGGGAAGGCTGGGTATCCTCGGGACACAGGACACATTCCCTTGCCCCTCTCTCCAAGGAGCAAGGCCACGGCGTGCGTGCTTAAAGCCCCTTTTTCTGCATGGGGCTGCAGCTGCACCTCAGCCCGGGAAAGGGGAGGGCTGGGGTGCTCCTTCCCCTGCCGCAGCCTGCAGGGCTGCCGTGATGCTCACCCCTCGTACGGGGCAGCGGCAGAGGCCCGGCAGCCGGCGGGCAGGCACCGAGCCGGCGGCTCTCGCCAAGGGAGGATGTCTGGCCCAGGACTACGTTTCCCAGCGGCTCCTCCCGGGGCTGCACATGCTCCATGCGGATCCGGGCGCCTCCCGGCAGCTCCCGGCGCGGCGCCCGCTGCGGCGCAAGGGCGGTCGGAGCGGCCCCCGGTGCTGCTCCCGGTGCGGCTCCCGGTGCTGCTCCCGGGGCAGCCAGCGGCGCGGCTCCCGGCGGTTCCCGGTGCTGCTCCCGGGGGTTCCCGGCGCGGCTCCCGGAGCGCCTCCCGGCGGGGCATCCTCCCGGTGCGCCCTCGGGAGCGCACGGCCGAGCCCCGCCGCCGGGCCGGGCCCGAGCCATCCCGGGCAGCCCCGCCTGGGGCCGGCAGCATGCCCCGCGGGCGAGCCTGGACGCCGGCGGAGGTCAGCAGCCTGCTGTCGCTGGTGGGGGGCTCGGGGGAGGCCGCGCTGCTCATGGCCTCCACGTCGCGACCCAACGAGGCGCTCTGGCGGGAGATCTCCCGGCGCCTGGCGGCGGCCGGCTACGGGCGCAGCGTGGCCCAGTGCCGCTCCAAGTGGAAGGCGCTCAAGCAGGCTTTCCACTCGGAGCGGGAGACGCGCCGCCGGGCAGGACACCACTCGCCCCGGCTGCCGCCGCACTACCGAGCCATGAAGAGCATCTGGAAGGCGGCCGGCAGACCCGTCTTTGGCGAGCGGAGGATGCCAGGTGGGTGCCGGGGGGGCTTGTGGGCTCAGCAGGGTGGCTGGACGTGCGGTGCCGGTGGAGCGCCGGTGCTGCCTGGACACGCAGGGCCTGTTGATGGTCTTTCTCTTCCCCTAGACGTGGTGAAGCTGCCCTCCAGAAGGCGCAGGTCAGCCCTTGCCACACGCTCTCCATCCTCACCAGAGCCACCAGGTACCCGTGGGCTCAGGCAGCTGGAGTGGGGCTTGTCCTGGCTGCGAGGTGGTGGGCACCCCTGTTCCCTGTGTTACTGAAGCTCCTTTCTGCACCCCTTCACCTCCTTCTGCAGAGCACGGCGTTGGCGGGGACACCCCCAGCACGCTGCTGTCACCGAAGCTGCAGCGTGCGAAGGACGAGCCAGAGAGCCGTAAGTACTGAGCTGCCCTGCTGCACCGAGCTGCCTGGCCATGGCTCCAGCCCAGGCCCGTGCCAGCATGATGGGAACGCGAGGCTAAGAGGATCAGGGCATCCATCACATGCCCCTCAGCGGGGATGGTCAGTGATGGGTGTGTTTGGACATCTGTCTCCACAGGCTTTGGCTCCAAACCAGCCCCAGAGCATGTGGGGATGGCTGGGATAGGCAGGAGGGGTTTCCAGCCTGAGGGCATGGCCAGGCTGCTGGCTGCCCTGTGGCAGATCATGAGGCAAGAGGTCTGGAAGGGGCAGTGGCCCTGATGCAGTGCAGGGATCTCGTGGCTGGTGGCATTGCAGGGCATGTGACTCCATTCCTTCAGCAGCTCCCGGCTCCTCATTGGCCCAGTAACACCATAAAGCTTCAGATGAGTTTGGGCTGTGTGTGAGGACAGAGCTGCCTGCAGCTCCCCTGCCCTTCAGCCCACCCACATGTGTAACCTGCAGGCCCCTCACTGTTCTCACTCCTGGGGATTTGGCACTGAGGTGATGCAGGATACATCCCTGAGTCTGGTTTGCGTGGGCGCCCAGGCCATCTTCCCACACTGGGTAACTACCTTCTGTCTCCCCAAATTCCCCCCGCAGTTTCAAGTGGATGTGGGATTCTCCTTCTCTTCCAGCCCTAGTCTGTTGTTAGCGTTGCTGCGCGCTGCTCCGCCGCTGCTGCCTTCCAGCCCAGAGGTGGCTGCATTGCAGTGGTGGGTGAGTGACTCCTGCTTTTGTACCTAGCTCTGAAGTGCTTTGGGGCCCTGCAGGGCGCTCTGGAGCTGTGGCTAGGGCATGTCAGGCTGAGGGGCTGGCCGGGGCAAGCCGGGCAGACCCCAGGCTGGTGGTGATCCACCAGCAGGTCCCTTCAGAAGGCGTATCTCTCCTCTCTGCTTTCTCCCAGCAGCTGGTGGGGAACACATTGCTGGAGTGCCACCCACACCCCCTGCCATGCCACGTAAGGCTTTCCTTGCCCTGCTCAGCCCAGTAAACCCCCTCAGCCCCACAAGCAGGGTCTGATATGGTTCTTGTTGCAGACACCGGTTGCTGCTTCTCTCCCCTCTCCCTCCTGGGTGAGTACCATACCCCACCTACCATGCTTGTGTGTCCTGGGGCAAGAGGTGGCTGCAGCTCACAGGCTGTGTCTGCTCTCCTTCCAGGGTGTCACACTGACCTGAAGCAGGAAGGAGCTGAGGGAAAGGCCAGTAAGTGTTTTCAGCTTTGAGCAAGTCCTTATGCTCCAGGGCACAGCTCCATCCTGTCCTGCCAGTGAGAAGGGCACAGGCTCTGGGAGGCAGTGAGGCAGTGCCTTCCCAGGGCTCTGTGTCATAGTCAGGCTAAATTTGGGGCTTGGCTGTCTCCACCACTTGTTGTTTGCTCCATGCCAAGCTTTCGTGACAGGTTTTCCTGGTGAGACGTCCCTGGGGATGGGAAGAGGAAACCAAGTGGTGCCACTGGCTGCTGCAGCCACAGGCTCCCCCGGGACAGCAGCCACGAGTGAGCAGCCAGCAGCAGGTGAAGATGCATCAGACACAAGCCTGCATGGTGGGTGCTCCCTGCAGCTTCACAGCAGCCTCACAGGGAGCTCTCAGAGCCGTGGTGAGGTGCCACTGACCCCTCTCTCACCGCAGGGTCTGGCGTGGCGGGCTTGCTCCAGAATGTCCAGCAGCTGCTGGTGCAGATCCTGCAGACATCCCGGCAGCAGCAGGCTCTACTGGAGAGCCTGGCCAGTGACACCGTGTCCCACCTCCACCTCCTGTCCCACAGCCTCGTGCAGGTGGGCGAGACCCTGCACCAACTCCTGCTCCGGCCACAGACCCATCCTGGCCCCATTGGCCACTATGTCCCCCACGTGCCCCTTTTTGAGGGTGGCTCTGGCGTGCCCTGCTCCCCTGGTGCTCCCCACACTTCCCCAGATCACAAAGAGGAGACTCAGATGTCCCCTGATGCCAGGTGCATCCCCCACTGAGTGCCACCATCACTGGCTCCAGGAGCAACAGCTTTGCTACAGAGCCATGGCACAAATCTTTATATCAGAGGTTCCAGATATTTTGAAAGTTTATACTAGAGAGACATTTTAATAAAATTAAAAATAGCTTTTCTACCAGCGATGGCAACTGACCAATTCTTTCCCCCTCTCTGGGGAATGTTCCCCTTCTCACTTTCGAGATGAGCACGAGGGGAACTCAGCTATTTACAGACTCAGAGAAACTCCCAACCCACACAGCACGGGGCAGATGTACTTCTTCTGCCCTTTACAGCAGCGCCTGGGGTGGGCATCACGCCTTCCTGGGACATGTGCTGCTGTCTGTGGAGCAGAGCAGGGCCACTGCCAGGAGTGGAGGCCAGGAAGCCCAGGATGCATCCTTCTCCGAGGGAAGAGGCTGGGGTGGGTGATGCTGTGCTGGGGAAGCAGCATGTGCAGCAGCCACAGTACCTTAGTGTCCAGGTCCTTGGCAGGTTTCTTCCAGGGGACAATCTGGGGCTTTCACAGACAGTACTGTGGGCTTGCCGCACACTCTGGTGAGGCCCTCCTGCTCCAGGAGGGATCCTCCTGCTCAGTACATGGATATCAGGTAGCAGTAGCTGCGGACATACCATGGCATGTGCCTAGAGAAGGGACCTCTGACTCTCACCTGGACCCCACCACCTTCACCAGCTTGTGCACATCCTCTGTGGGGATGGAGCAATGTGCTCTGTGCCTCCAGAATCTCTTGGCCACATCCAGGGAGAGGAAGTGTACGTCGTGTAGATACCGAGCAAATGGTCACGCCATGCCAGATGCCACGTGCTGGAGGGCTGGCAGGTAGCTGCCACTTCTCCCAGAAGAGGAGGGAGGCCGTGTAGAGGCTAGTCTGTGCCAGATGATCAAGCCCAGCCAGAGAAGTGGGCAAGCAGTCCATGTTGAAGCAGTTGTCATCCCATCCTGAGCATGTATGGATGATGGATCTGCTCGTCACTGCCTGGATGCCATGCATGACCTTCAGGGTGAGGTTGCAGTACGTGTCCCTGTAGCTCTCCAACTAGATGTCCCTGAACTCCTGCCTGTTCCACTGCACACCCTGGCCCATTGCCTGCCCCACATCCTCCAGGAGCTTGCCAGGGCACCCCACATCTTCCAGGTGCACACACCACTGGCTGGAGCACCCCACGTGTGGCCAAGCTGTGGAGAGAGAGCAGGGGCACAGTCACAGGGCCCAACAGCAAAGTGGCAGGGGGACAGCAGGTGCCACAGCAGCAGTGAGCAACAACATCACAGCCCAGACATCATCTGGGCAGGGGAGAAACATGGGCATGTAGTGCTGAAATGGCCCCCTCAGCACTGTCCCTCATCCCATACCAGCTGTGCACCCTGGGTTGGAGAGAAAGGCATGTCACAGAGGCACAGAGGCCTCGTGATGCAGTGGGCAGAGCGCTGGGGTCTGTGGGGGCTGCTGGGAGCACGGCCAGCCCTGGTGGGCATGGTGCTCCCACCACTGCATACAAAACATCCTCTGTGCTCCCAAGCAGGAGCAGAAACCACCTGGCTGCTGGCCAGCAGCTCTGGCCCCGAGCCTCACAGTGGTGGGGCCACTGCCTGCAAACATCTCTGCCCCGGATTTCCCTTCCTGGAGCCCGTCAGGGCGGGCAAAGAGAAGAGGAAGGTGGGTTCTCCCTTCCTGAGCCCTGCTGCTTGCACTGGTGAAGTTGCAGTTGCTGGGCTGTGGTTGTCCGTGCTCCACACTGACCTTGCTGCGTTCCCCATCGTTCCACTGATTTCCCTGTGGTGCTCCCAGTCAGCCTGCTGCGGTCCCCTCCATCCCACCACACTCCCCAGCACCCTGGCCTGCTCCCTGCCATTCTGCCATGCTCCTCACTTGAGTCTACAGCTGCTCCTTCCAGCCCTGGGGCACCCAGCACCCATCCCTCAGCCCTGGGGTGCTGGGGCAGTGGGGTGGGCTGTCCCCTCTCCGTT